ACAGCTCACCGGGCACCGGGCGGTGACGCCGGGAAAACTGGCAGCACCAAGGCATGCAGCCTCTGTCAGCCCTCATATCTGTGAGTAGCTTAATGAGCCACTAAAATACCAGGTAAAAGAGCTGGGGGCTTGCTGGTATTAAAGCAAATCTTGTTACTATTGATATTTCTTACTGCCACAGTTTGCCCGCTGGCTTGGCAAAAAGCCCCGGCTCTGCTCTCTGTGCCGACGCGCACATCAAAGTCATCAGCCAGAGCCTCTGAGCCGGGGCGTGATCAGATGCACAGCCCGCGCAGGGCCGCAGAAAGAGAATATTATTCTCTTGATTTAGCGAGTAGTGGCGTGAGGGGGATGAAATGAGTTGCCAGAGGCTGCAGATTGGCTCTGGAGCTGCTAATGACCCCAGCCGGAGGGTGGGCACGTGGCCACGCAGTCCTGCCTGTTCCCTGCTGCAGCCGCGGCAGTCATCACCCGTTTTGGGGTGCCAGTGGGTGGCTGTGGGGAGCCCTCACGAACGCAGCAGCTTGTCCCGAAGTCTGCGCCGTGTCCCAGCCCCGCACCCTGGGCAGGAGGGGCATCTCCACAGCATGGAGCACCCTGACAGCACCAGCCCCAGGTCTGGGCGCACCGGGGGCTCTTACAGCACCTGGGTACTGCCTGGGAGCGGAGAGAGCAGAAACCCCGCTCCCCAGCCCTCTCTGGGGTCACAGCTGGGGGAAAAGGTAGGATTTGAGCAGCTGCTGCTCCTGGCCACGGTGCAGATGTTTCCTGTTTGAACTGGGTACGGGTCAGGACCCACGCAATATTTTAATGGGCTCGTGAAGGCGTGGGAACTGGGTCTCGAAGCGGGCTGAGCCTGCCTGCTACTCCAGGCTCCTCCACCAGCTCCGGACCGCTGGTTCGTCTGCGGTGGGGAAGCACTTAGGCCAGGGGATTTTTCATTTGTTGTTTTAAAGTTAGCACCTCAGCTACAATTAAGAAAAAAGAAAGCTTTGACTCTGAGGAGAGTAGAGCTAGTTTTCCCTGGGATTACCCAGCCAGCCAGCCCTGTTAGGTCCAAGTCAGATGTAAAGACACCTGCAGTGCCCCAAGCTGATCTTTTATTGTGCTGCTCTGGGCTTGTAGCAAATACTGGCGTGAGGCGGTGGGTTTCAGGGCTCTTTGAAAAGCTGATCTTGAAGCAGAAAGGGAACCTCCATGAGACCGGGCTGCCCCCAGACCCCCCGTCCGCAGCGGCTGGGGAGCCAGTGCCGGCCACGCTGGCGACTCGGCAGCGCCCAGGGGCTGCAGCCACCTCCTCCGCAAGCTGAACGGCAATTTAACATCTCTCTGCCTTTCCCTTCTCACCCTCTGAAGGGACGGCAGTCACCAATGATGCCCTCAAACACGCTCTGTTCAGAAAACATAACTTTTATTATTAGTTGCAATATACACTGTATTCCTTTAAGAATCCTAAACTTGTATATGGTTTTTCCCACTGAAAATACATGTGTATGTATATATGTTTTTATATATGTATATATATATAAATGTATTTTATTGAACTGGAACACAACGGAACAAGGGAGACAAGCTCAGAAATTACTCGGAAAAGTAAGTGTGATCTCGATGGGCTTGTGCTGGCAGTGTGCTAAGGTGAGCAGTATAAAAAGAACAGGCTAAATAGAAAATGCGATGGGTTAGGCAGTGGGGAACGGTCTCTCAGTGCTACCGGTGGTGATATATACAGTAGTTACACATTGCTATTGCTCAGTCACCAGTGCCACCTATTCTCAAAGGCAGACCGGTCTCTGGTGCGGCTCCGCACAGCAACATTCGTAAGGCCGGCTGTGCTCCCTGCAAATGGTACCTGCCGTTTGAAAATGGGGTTTAATTACATTTCCCTTGGCAGCAGCTCTGCTCATTACTAATCTGGTCAGCGAAGGAAGAATTCCTCCGGGGCACGGTGAAACCTAACTGGGTCAATATAAAGTAGCTCACAGGCAGGGGAAGGGATGGGCAGCAGCAGTGAGAGCTGAAATGCACGGGCGGAGCTGCAGCGGGTGCAAGCCCGCGCCTCCGCTGCCCCAGGCTCGTCTGCTCCTGGCTCCTTCCCTCCGCGCTCATCCCGCCGGCCGCCAAGGGGCTGCTCTCCTTGGGGCTGCTCTCCTTGTCTTGATTTCCTCAGAAGACAATTCTTTAGAGAACTGGCTGAGGGTGGCAGTAACCCCTGCTGTGCCAGGGGCTTGGGGCTTATTTCGCTTTTTTTTTGGTGGTTGTTCTTTCAACTTTTTGTTTGTTAACCTGGTTTTTCAAACACAGCTCCCCCAGGCCACATGCTATTGCTGAGCTTAGCTGACAGAGGGACAAGCCTTCCCCAGATCAACGTAATTGGTTTCCTTTTATTTCTGCTGAGCTGCAGATGTTTCTTGGCTGAAAGGACACATTTTGTCAAAGGCACTGACCACGGACCTTCCTCTGCCTGAAGCCAGGTTGGAGGGAGCAGACGGGCTCTGACCTTCCAGCTGGAGGGTCACCTCCCTCCCCCCGGCAAAGTGCTTGTCAATTTGGGAAGAGATGTAAAGAATGTGGGCATTGATTTGCTCCTCCTGACTTCCTCGGCAAAAGTGCTTTCAAAAATCCCATCCTTAAATCCTCATCTTGCTACCACCCCCGCACTGTCTGTCACCACTGGATCACGCCTACTTGATTCCCCTCCCAGCTGAAGAAGCAGGTGAGGTTTATCCCCGCTGTAGCGTTTCTCTTCTTGCTGTCTTTCCCCAGCAGCATCTGGCAAGGAGGGATCTTGCTGGGGGAAAAGACGTTGCAACAAGCCAGGCTGCTGGAAGATGCAGAGCAGGCGACCTGTGCATCGCCTCCTTCCCACAGCAAGTGTTACCAGAGGTTTAGCAGGGGTTGGTGGGAACAGCTGATTGCACTGGAATAACATTTGAATCAAAAGCTGGTGTAGCTGGGAGAACTACAGCTCGTTCCTCTCTTTAGAGGCAGGAAAATCTAAGTGTGAAAGTGCCTGGAGCAACCTGTATAAAAGAGCTTTCCTGACTTGGGCCCCTTAGGGCAAGTAGAAGGATGTAACCTGCATCCACGCATCCTTCATCCATCCACGCTGCTGGGACTGAACGGGATCGAGCCCCGATTCTGACTTATTGCACAGAGGTCCCTTTCCTGAATCTTGCCAGAACTGGCTTCGAGGGGAGGAGAGGCGGGCGACCCCCTGCAGCTGTCGCAGGTGGGATCCAGCCCTGGGGCGGCGGCACAGGACGTGGCGAGGGGTCCCGCTGCTGCCAGGGAAGGCAATAAGGGGACTGGTTTGTCACTGGGGGAGATGCCCCGCTCTCCCATTGTGCAACATTTGCAAGCGTTTTCTTCTTGCAAAATTGGAGGGAGAGGTGCAGGTTAAACCCCTTCCCCTTGGCTAGTGCCAAGAAGTGTATTTGTAATTAGGGCCATCACCCTGGACAAACTGACCCCCACAGCCACGCCGTGATCACTACGCAGCTTTTGCTGTATCAATACAACGCCTCTGCTCCATAAGCAGGTGTAAAGTCTTTCCTTTAGCCCTGCTGCTACCCGAGACCCAGGCAGCTCTAGGGTTTGGCTTGTCTGCACCACTGGACCAGTCCACGAGCTCCTCCATGGCAGCCTGCGCACCAGTGTCCCTGGACACCCCAGTGCAGCAAGGCAGATGTTGGATGGATGCCTGCACCCTATGCTCTGCCTTCAGCTCTCCACGTTGCCGAAAGGGGGGAGCTCAGCCCCTCTGCTCTGCGATCTGCCCCCGAGGTGGCTGCGCTGATTAGGGGGAGATTGGGATGAGCTTGGATGGGATCTGTGTTCACGCTGTGGGTCTCCTGCTAAACTGGTGGACCATGAGGACACCCACTGCTAATCCCCACCCACCAGATGCTCTGCGCTTCTCTCTAGCACTATTTTCAGGCCATTTTCCAACTGATGAAGGAAAACAACAGATTATGACTGTAAAGTTATGGTGAGAGGACTGGATCCTGGTAGGACAACATTACGCCTTGCCAAGAGAAGGAACAATTAACCCCTTCTTTAGACTCTCCTCCCATTTCTTCCCCAGCTCGCAGCCACCTCTACATACATAATATATTATGTTACTATATTCTCTTATAACTTTGACTTTGCTTTTTCAGTTTCAGTAGCGCAAGTGATTAATTCCAAAAGAAAAAAAAAAGAAAAAAAAACAAGGGAAGGAACAAAAGCAGCCCCTAGGAATATTTACAGAATGGTTCATCTTGCAGAGGAGAGATGGGGTTTGGCATTGGGAAAAGCATGGTTTTTGAATGTGCTTAAGTGGGTTTGATTCCACATTCCTCCTCGCCCCTCTGGAATCCTGCTCTGATGATGAAAATTAAAGAGCTGTTCGCCACGCTTTCCCCCAGTGCATAATGCTCTCCCCTGGCCTTATAAAGGCAGTATCCAAAGGGGGCTGACCTTGAAAACCAGCCTTTCGCTTTCAGGGAGCTCTCAGCTCCCTCTTCAGCCTCTCCTCGTTACCCAGCACCTTCGTTACTGCTCTCCTCGCAAGGACCAGGGCTTTTAAGGTACTGGATGGTGGGGACAGGGAAGGGACTGTACACACCTGGAATCAAAACCATGAAGTGGAAGATACTGACTTCTTTAACATACCAAAAATTATTGCAGTATAAATACACCCCTGTCACCCCAGCGAAAGCAGAGAAGGGGAAGCGATGGGGGAAGTTTGGTGGGTGAGGGGCGTTTCAGTAAAGCCACCCGACCTGGGAAGCTCTGACAGCTGCTCCCACAGCTCTCAATTCCTCCCCAGATTAGGGTACCGGCCATTTACATCAGCAAATACTGCCCCACCCTGTGCCTCTCCCCCCACCCTCCCTTACGCTATGCATGACAAAATATCCCAAGAGTCCCTCCACATCAGATCTTTTTCAGAGAGACTTCTATTAAGAAAAGCATCTATTCCCAGAAAACCCCAGTAAGAGCTGCAAAAACAACTGCTCTTAAGTATGGCTGGTTTCCCCAGCTGCTGAGACCTTCTGGCCAATCCATGTCAGTATTTCTGTGAAGACAGAGGTAGAGACCTCCGGCAGCTCTTTGTGGAGGGCATGATAGGCTTCCTCATACACCTGCAACCAGGGAGAGAGCGGAGATTAGCACAGAAAAACGAAATCCGCATCAACAAAACAGACTTCAGTCCCCTTTTGTCAACACCCACAGGGTCCAACACGTCCTGCCCACACCTCGTCGGGTTTTTTTTTCCTAGACGTGGCAGGTTATGAAATCAAAGCGATGCCGTTGGTGGTGCTGGCCCTTCGCGAGCAGGAAGGCCTTGGCATTGCAGCTTGACGTCTGCAGGTCACCCGAGCACCCCGCTGCCCTTTAGGAAGATAATGCACGTCCCAACCCCATGCATTTCTGGCTTCCTATCCCACTAAGAAGGAGGAAATACTTATCGTGCCCTTGGAGTTTAAAGGACAATGGGGGATGTTCCCATCATGCCTTGTGCAATTTTACTCCTTTATGCCCAGACTATCCAGTTATTTTTCCAACGACAAAAGCTTTCCCGTGGTCTCGCTGTCTCTCTTTCAGGCTCATTCATGTGCTAACAATTGGTTAATCAGCTGTGGCTCTCTCGAAATGAGCAGATGTGAAGTGGCTTTTGTCGTGCTGCGCTTTGGAAAGGGCCCCCTGTACCTTTACGGGCCAGGGCAGGAGGTAAGGTTGGTGCTCACACGGTGTTGTTGGAAGAGCTTTTGGGGTCAGCACTTTACCTGCTTATGAGCATCACTCTACTTCTACACCAAGTTGCTTATGTCCAAGAGACCCTCTAGGTCCACAGCCACCCCTGGGTCAGGTCTTGAGATCACCCACCGCCCCGCAGCCCGGCTGTCGCTGGTGAAAGGCCACCACACTGCAGGGGAGGGCTGCACTTGGGCTACCTCCTGGTGAAAGGGGCCATAACCTGCTCCATCTCACCAACACATCAGCCCTGCTTTGCGTCCAGCTCTCCAGAGCTCAACAGGCTCCCTACCCCTCACGGTCACTCATGCTCAGGCCAATGCTGACAGGAAAAGAACCTAAAAATCAAGAAAGTAAGACGACCTTGAGTGTTTTGTCCTGACTCTGCACTGTGTCCATCAGTAAATAGGACCCTTTGATATCGCAGAGCTTGTCGGAAGAACATGTAGCACCAGGATGGGCAAAGTCAGCTTGGGCAGAGCTCGCTCAATTCTGGCAATGGCATTCATCAGCTGGATGACGAAGGAGACCTTCATGCCACCGTGGTAGACCAAGGGATCGGATGTATAAGACTCCATCTGGCAGGGAGGAAGAGGTAATTTAAGGTTAGCAATATTTCATGCAAAAAAGACAAAGCAGATCAGCCTGGCGGTGAGGAGTCTCTTCCCTTGGCTTGCATGGTCATTTCCTACTCTGTCAGGACATCCTGCCATTAGAGTCAAGGTCGAGATCTTTACTGTGGCTACCCAGAGCTGCTCACACAACCTGGCTTACCCCATGCTGTGTGCTTCTCTCTTATGTCACTAGAAAATATTCAAGCCAAAGCTCTTTCTGCAAGCAACCAACCAGTGTTGGACAAAGACTGTTCCCATGGGGGCACCTGCCTGCATTCTTCTGCTCTTTCATGTCCTTCTGTCACTCAAAGGTGACAATATCTCTTCTGCAGAGGGTTCTTCAGACTGCGTTACTTGGAAGCTGACTTTGTCCAGGTCCTTATCCTCTCTGCTGAGGGCTCAGATGTTCTTCTCTTTCATCTTCTCTCTCCAGGGATGAAGACCGTGACCTACACCTACAGACAAGTGACACACCTGACTGCAAAGTACTCTTACGCCAAGTGGGCCTCTCCGGGTGCAAAGCGTGCACAGACAAGGCAGCCAACGATGGTATTTGGTGGTAGGCAAAAAAAAAAAAAAAGTCAACAACTTGCTCAGCCAGACTGTGAGAGGATAAAAATGTACAAGAGTTGGTGCAGAAAGTTGCTAGGAACGAGTAGTTACCGCAGCAGGCAAATCGACAGTAAATATTTGTATACTGTACATGGAGACGGCCCACACAGCCACTGCCATCTCAATATTTGCCAGAATGCTTTGATTATGGGTTGGTCTCTGGCACAGCCTCCAATTTCTCCCAACCCTGGCAGATGTTTATAGAAATGATGGTTATTTATAGGTTAGCCGAAAACAGTCTCCTCTCCTCGCAGGCAGTGCGGTCTGTTCAAATTCTCCCTCGCTTGGCAGAAATGTGAGGCCCTCCTCCTGCTGCACGTGCCTGCCCTGGGGGGACCACGGGTGGAGGTGACCCCCAAGGCCACCCCAGGGACATGCACCTCGGCACAGGCATAGGCACGGACGGGCACTGTAGCAGGACAGCGTGGCCTGCCTGGTCCCCACCAAGAAGCCAGAAAGGCTTTGGGGTGGATTCTGCATTCATCTCCCTGTGACATGAGATGATCGGGGTGACAGAAGGACACTACACACTACATGGTGGGGTTTCCCAGCTGGGGGGATTAATTTGCTTTACTGGTGTAAAGCCAGTTTCCCTCCTCATTGTCTCAAATGTGTTGGGGCACAAAGCACTGGAAATGGAGCTGGCAGCGAGGCATGCTGGTGCTCACAAGTCTTTCCCCATCACCTTCTTGCTTCCAGTCCCACTGTCTCCTGCTGCTGGAACTCATGGCTCCTATCCCCGAGTGCAGCAAGGGGAAGGAGTGGGTGGGCATTTGGGACTATTAGTGGCTGGCACCCTTCAGTCCCAGCCCACAGTGCTGAAGATGGTCAAGGGGGTGAGAGCCGTAGAGCCACTCTAACTTGTGCTGGAGTTGGACCAAAGAGTCAACTTGTTGTAGCCCTCATTTAGGGACCCTTGGATTCAGCAGATGTTTCCAGTATTTGCTTAATGCCATCGTTGTGTTTTGGCCTCTGTGCAAGATCACGGCTACTCTGGAGTGAGGGGTAGTTTTCCACAGGGAGACAAAGATAGAGGTCTCTCATCACAGGTCCTAATATTAGGCTCTTATGTGTAGTATCTCCCTTCCAAAGAAGCAAGCGCCCATGCGTGCTGAGGGTTTGGAAAACACTGTTTGTGAGCGGCCACTGCAAAGATGAGATTGCGGTTAAGGTAAAAGGATCCACTCTTAAGACCCGCGGAACATCCTCCGCTCCTGCTAAAGGCCCTAGGAAGCAGAGAGGCCGAACAGCGCGTGGTCCTCTCTCGGCTCCGCATGGACCCTCCCAGTGCCCGACCGCTGTTGGTGCAGAAACCTCCGCCCGCGGCCTCCATCCGCTACACCGCCCAGCCTGTCTGCCTGCCATTCCTCCCCTGCTCTGCAAAGTGCTTCAGAAGGGTACAAAGCTGCCCCTGTGTAGAAAGAAGCATCCTCTCATGAACGTGCTCATGGAAGAAGTTCGGCTTTGACTTCCAAATCACCAGCCGCCCGGTGTGGTGTTGCTAGCTCGCCCATTGACAGCTGGGTGTACCCTGATATTTTCAGCCAAATGTGTTGACTTTTCATCAGCATTTGGAGCCAAACCACCGTGTTGCATTGGCTACTTAGCAACTGGCTTCAGCCTCATCTGGGAGTTACTTGTCTGGATCTATGTCACAGTGCTGCGCTAAAGCAACACAGCTTTGAGATGGGTTTCTTTTTATTATTTAGTTTTGTTTTTTTTAATTGAAGGCAACAAACGAGGGACTTTGCAGGGGGGCGAAGCAGGAGGGGTGGGCGGAAGGGAGGGGTGGTTCCCTTCCCATGGCGTAAAACAATGTCGATGAGTTCCTGTCAGCTGGCCCCCTCCCCAGCCCCATAAATGCTAAGAGAATGACCTAAGGAGTTTCTTTCTTCTGTTTTTTTTCTGAAAGAACAGGGATATTTTAGCTACTGAGCAGCCAACAAATATTTTTGTGCAGATGACGGGAGGGGAAAAAATAATAACCCAATCTTAACCCAGATCGATCAGGACCGCAGGGGGAGGATCCTGCTCCCAGTCAATGAACAGGAATCCTTGGCAGAGTTAATGTTCAGTGCATGGGGCGAGTACAAAGCGGCAGCTTGCTGGGGAAAGAGGGCAGGACAGGCAACGGGCTGTATACTCTGCAAGCTAGAAACTGCAAACCCTGCAAGCCCAGAGTTCCCGTTGGCGCGCTGAGCTCTGGGACAGCGGGGACAAGCGAGCGAGGGTGTCCCCAGGAGAGCCCGCGACGGCCTCCGGCCACGGCCCAGCGAAGGCTCTGCGCAGCCCGTCACAACAGCTCTTTTTTCTCTTTCTGTAATGCTAAGACAGAAGCCACCATCAGGGCTCCTGCTGCGTTATCTTCCCCTGCTTAGAGGTCTGTATCTTCCCTTTGCATTGTGCGGAGCGATAAATTCATTATCAGGTAATTACAGCCTCATCCTACGTGGACTCTGCAGGAACAAGACTTAGGTCAGTGGGACTATTCCACTGAATTAAATGACAGCTAACAACGGTTAATGGGGTAAAGAGGTGCCTGCCCCTGTGATATTATTCCTCCTTGGAATAACAAGACTGGGTTTTTAAGGTTGCTTCTTGCTCTCTTTTGTGTCTCTTGCATTTGATATAGCAAGCAGATCAAACAAACATCTCCATACCGTCCTGTGTTTCAGTCCCTACACCCTGAGAACAGCCTGCTGGGAATACAAACTCATCAGGAAATTCTTGGATGATGTCCCAAAAATATTTCTAGAGAATAGAAAGTTGGTCTGGCAGGAGAATATGTTTAACACATAAATAATGGATGTTTCCAGCACATTGTGTGCTTTGAAGCTGCGTGTCTTGAGTCCAAAAGGAGGGTGGAGGGTGCGTGAGAGGCAGCCAGAGGACTGAGATGCGGTGTTGTCTTCAGTAAGTGCCTGCAGCCTCAAATCCTGGTGTTTGAAGATGGTTGGGAAAGCGCTTTACATCGCAATCCGCAGCTGCTATGTCAGCTGTGTGTTCGCTTGCAGGTGTGCAGGCAGCGCAGCAAGGAGGGCTTCTTGTCTCGTTTTGAAGACTACTCCGTTATAAGCAGACTCTAAGGAAGCAGACCTACGTTTTCATCCGCTGCAAAAGGCTTCCCCTTGCTCCATGGAAAGGGAAAGGGCAGAGGAAAAACAATAACACTCAAAGGAAGCTCTTGAGACTTGGAGCATCATAGAGAAGTGGGAGCAGCAGCGAATATTTGGGTAGAAAGACAACACAATAGCATTTATTATAAACTATGTCGAATGGTTGCTGTGGTGATTCCTAACACCACCCCAGCATCAAAATGGTCAGTCAATACTGTGCACCGAATTAAGGGAGATCGCTGACACTTTTCTAAATGCATTATTATTTGGGATGTCCCCACATCAGCACTTTTCTCCTGTAAAGCTATTTAGTGCAGCACTAGCATCTTCCAGCAGAGGATCCAACTGTCGCAGGCAGGTGTACTTAAAACTGCTACCCTTAAGGACCAGCTGCAGCACAGCGTTCAAGTGCCGCACAACAAATCAGTGCAGAAGCAGGCAAAGACCCATGCGTCCCGGCCGTGCTCGCTCTTCAGGTAGGGGGTAACACTCTCAAATTCCTCTCCTCCTCCAGAGCACTGATTGCTTTTATCCTCTAAATACAAATGCAGAAGTGGAAACTTTCCCCCGTGTGATTTTAGTGAATTAGTTCTCGAATTTAAACCTTTTCTCTGAATTATATGTAACAAGTTACGGCAGCTGAATGTAATTAAGAACAGGTTTCTATAGCTTGACTGGCATCAGCCTTCTTCCCAAGTAGATATTTAGTGCAGCCTCATATGGTACTTAAGAACGTACGTCATACGGCACATCAGTCGATGCAGATGAGCTCGCTCCATGCTCGTCCTGGCAGGTCCCTAGGACCTACTTTGTCCTCCTTTTCTCAGCTCCTTGAATCTTTCCACCTTCAGCCCAGTGAAATGTTACGCTCAGTTCACAGATAAGTAAACCAGAAGTCATTTGACCAAAAAAATCTTTGGTAGAGCCAAGAAACAACCCTGAACACCTTGTGGCTATTCTGGGAGACCCTTTGCTTTCCAGTTGGGTGAGTCGAAGAGGCGGGATGCGCCGAGGCTGAAGGCATTGCACTCACACAGCCGCTGATGTTGTCTTTGCTCCTGATCCTTTCAGCTTCAATTCCAGTGCCGGTCAAGCTGCCTCCCCAGAGGAAGGCAATTTATTAACTTCTATTTAAGACAGGAACCATTGCATGAACAGCAGGAAAAATGACAGCATCCGTCAGTGAGATGTGAGCTGAGCACAGGAACAACTGACCACTACACCAGCGAAGCTCTCCTGCTTTTGAGACACCCTCGGGTGCCATTTTCTATCATTCAAGTTGATTTCTGAAACGCACCAAGTTCTGGGTCCAGCCAAAGCACCTTTGTTCACCTACAGTTCGTGTCTCCTCCTCTCACTCCTCCCACAACAGCGAGAAGGAAAAAAACCTCGTTACATGTTGTTGCAGCAGTTGCAATGATGTCTGGTTTTGCCAGTGACGGCACGAACGGGCTGCAACAGTTATTACTAGGAGTGGGAATAAATGGGAGAAGAGTCCTAAGCGATGGTGACACTACAAAAACTTCACCCTGGAACAGCTCCACGCACAGTCGCAGCGGTGGAGCTGGAATTGGGTTGTTACAACGGCTGCTTCAATTGCAGCTCATTTAAGTATTATTCTCGGGCACAGCAAGAATACATCATTTGTTCAGAAAGGCTGTAGCAGAGGCAGCGTGTAATCCAGGAGACCTTGTAGCCAGGTCTTTGGGGCAAGCATGCTCTTTTCCTTCGTTTGAATGCATTCAGCACACCACGATGCTGGTTTGCAAGCAGGAAAACAAATCTCCAGGACTGTTAGGTTTATACGGTTTCACTGCAAAGAGCAGGGGTGGAAAAGTTGACTTTAGCAGTGTGTTTGCAACCTGTATAAGTTGTTTTTGCTACTGTAACGAGCGGTCGTGGTGCAGCAGAGACAAACACGGTTCCCATGTGCTTTCCACCGCAACCACAGCACAGGTGTCTCTTATGTTGTTAAGTTAGGACAAGAGGGAACGGCCTCAAGCTGCGCCAGGGCAGGTTTGGGTTGGATATTAGGGAAAACTTCTTCATGGAAAGGGCTGTCAGGCCCTGGCCCAGGCTGCCCGGGCAGGGGCTGAGTCCCCATCCCTGGAGGGATTTAAAAGCCGGGGAGATGTGGTGCTTAGGGACATGGTTTGGTGGTGGCCTTGGCAGTGCTGGGTTAACGGTTGGAGTCGGTGACCTTAAGCATCTTTTCCAACCTAAATGATTCTACTGTGATTCCGTGATTCCGTGATTCTATGTTTTGTACCCAGAGTGGCTGCGGGTGCAAGTCGCACCAAAGGGATGAACAGCTGATTTCCCCCAGTTTTCTGCTATGTGCAGTCAGTTCCACTGACTTCAGAGATGTTTCACCTTTTTACACCAGCGCAGATCTTGCCCTCATGATCTAGCAAAACGCTTGGTTTGTTTTTTCTGGGACGAGATAGCGACTATGCAGTGACTTTAAATGACATTAGGGTTCTCACCTCCTTCTTGTTCCGGGAAATTGCATTTGGATCTATCGATCCCAGTGAGAGGTTTGGGAGAACAAAGTTGAGCACTTTCGCTGCAAAAACCTGTGGGAGAGGAAAGCAAGCAGTTAAAGAGCCAGTTAGAGCAAGAGAGAGAACATAGAGGGCCAAATCCTGAGCTGATGGGAATCAGCACAGAAGTTAAATAGTTGAGAAATGTCAACTGACACTGGAGAAAGATCTGTCCTATATTTAAAACATTTCTCTTAAAAAGAAAGTGTTTAAACGGCTCCCAGGATTGGGGAGTGGGTGTGCTAGTCTGAGATGCCGTCAGCTGGCCGTCCACATCAACATCACCACTTCATTGTACTTTGCCTGTTTCCCATTCTCAGGTTAATTTCTAAAAAGGCCTCGGTTAAGCCCTTTGATAGGAAAAAGCCATTTCCACCCCTCGAAAGGGCTGGGTTTTGTTGTTTTACTGCCCTTTCCTTGCTGCCACAGCTTTGATTTCAGGCTGCAGTGTGCCTAAGTGCTGTTTGGTGCAATTTGCAGTAGTTGCCTAGGCTGCACTCTTTTTGATAAGCATATTCTCCAGGGAACCTGTAAATAAACAACAGCAAAATGTGCATGCAGTGGCTAAGGAAATCCATTGCTCGCTTGTCTCCTGGGAACGAAACACAAAAGCATTCAGCAGCCCCGGCTCGAAACCACTGGCAGAGGAAAGGGTAACATCTTTCATTTCGATAGCACTACAAGCACGTTGATACCAGGGTTCTGCTCTGACCTTTGATAGCTGTCTTTAATTAAGTCAGAAAACATGCAATTAGTGTTTGTTGGTCCGTTTTATGGCTCTTTCTTGCTCACCGCTAACACTTGCAGGGAGGCTGTCACCTACGTTCTCTGTTCCTGCCGAGATGTCATCGCTTCTGAAGCCGTCCCTGACATTTCACATCTCGGATGATACATGACAGAGTAATTATGATGATAGAGGAATAACACAAGGGCAAAGTCGAAGTCATCCAGGAGTGAAAGGCAGTAAAGACTCACAGCAGATTTGAGAACGCGTGTGTACCGTGGGGTGGGTATGACTGGGACCCGCTCTCACTGTCTACCAGTATATCGAGCCCCTCACTGGCTATGCCATTGTGCCAGCAAAATTAATCAATTCATGAATTAATTATCACACCGATGCAGCAGGAATGGGGTTTTCTTCGTTTTGTGTTAACTCCAAGCAGTGATGATTCGAGGAACGCATCTTCATGAATCCTAGGCAAGGTTATGGACGCTGTGCGCTGACAGCGCTGGAACAGTTTTGCTTCTTTGAAACTGCTTACGATGACCCAGACATATGCCAAGTAACTTCAGGTACCTAGCTGAGGTATTTAACTTAGAGCAAGTGTAATGGTCCAAGGTATCCTTTACAGAGTATGGGGAGTGAGAGAAACACCTCCCAGAACACCTCCAAGATCCGAATAACGGTCTGGAAGTGCCTGTCTCCAAAGATTATCACGACAACTAAGGCAATTAGGCTGCCCTAAAATTGGAGCCTGAGTTAAGAGCTAGGGCAAGCTCTTATGCCTAAAGATTGCTTATCCAAGAGGAAATACCTTGGCATGAGAGGTTAGCTGATGCTCTCTCAATATCTATTTAGAGTATTGGCCACAAGATCAGTATGTCGGTATTAAGGCCACAGATATTTAGGTCCAAGATGACACATAAAAGAGTAAAAGATGGCAGGGTTTTTGGAAGATGGGGGCTTTGCTTACTTTTAAATTAGGCTGAAGGAGGAAGTTAGTTGACACACTCTCAAATTCCAGAAAAAGACGTGAGTTTGATGGGGATTCCGCTCCATGTCTGCTTGGTACATGTGTGAATGTTTATATTCCCAAGGATCTGCAATAGGGATTTTGCTGAAGGAGCAGAAATTTGAATCTTCCTCCCATATGAGCAATAACACACCAGCCTAACGATACGCTGAAGGCGGGGAAGGTGTGACAAGGAAAGGAGAACTACATATATGCTCTTTCTCAGGCTCTTCCCTGTTGCGAGACAGGCTAGACAGACTTTTGTCAGATTCGGTATGGCCATTTTTCTGTTCGAATGATATATGCTTATCATCCCAACCCCACTGCCTACTGGTGACCTCGCCTCCGTAACACGCTTTGGAAATGTTCTTGGATTTTTTGCTCGTATCTGGAGTTTTGTCAAACGGAGTCACAAGCTGACTGCTAAACTGCCACAGAGATAGGGCTGGCTTCTGAGCACGAGCACAGCAGCACGTACCGTCCTGGGCTGGTGATATCCGTGAAAGTAATTTCTGGTGTTCAGCCGTACAAGAGAAGCAGCAGGCCCTGTACGTAGACATGTCAGATGTACTTACACACACATACATATACTCCCTGTGTGCATAAAATCTCTTATTTATGCACAGACAGAAGTAACCTTGGTCTATAGGACTGATTGCGAAAGGACTCTGCCACCGTCCTTCAAAGGGTCTTCAGACCTGCAGGAAATGCTCCATTCCCTCCAACATGTAGTACACCCTCAAAATTCAGATGTGATTTTGATGATTCTTGGAGGAAAGGTCACAGACAGAAAAATCAAGTTCTATGTTTGTTGTAATAAAAAATTCAGAAGGTTCCCCTGGGCCTTGACTGATTTTCCAAGCACTGTGATAGCTTGTGACATGCCCGACTTTAATTAAAAGCCATGTTGCTGAAGTGCTGGCTATATTTGATATATGAAAGTTTATCTCCCTGTTGGTTCAAAGTGGCAATGTTGGTTCTTGAGAGAATAGCTCCCAAATGATCAAAAATGGATGATGGAATGATGGGGATATTACTGGTGGGGCTGAGGATGATGCTACAGCGCAGTGGTTATTAGAGCTGCTCAAGGCCACGGCAGGTGTGTGAAATACTAACGGTGTTCAAATCCAGCCCTTCCCTCTCTGTGAGAAAGATCTCAGAATAAGATTGAAATAGACGGCTGAACATTGCCTCTTGACTGGAAGTGTAACTTCAAGCTGATTTCATGTTTTTTGCATTAGTTTAACTATGTGGGTGCTTCGCAGTGTAGACACTTTTCTTCTGAATGGAGCAATCCCTCTTCCCTGCACACCTTGATGTGCTTACTTCTCTCTCCCATGATCTCTGCTTGACAAACTGCTTGTGTGAAGGCCCTTTAGTTCATTTCAGCTACCAATGAGCTGGATTAACAAAAATGTTGTGTTTGAACTGGTTAAGGGAGCCAGGCTCATTTGACTGAGCTGAAAAGTCTCTGGAAGCTCACTGCGGAAGAGACCAGGTTGAGAGCAACTGAACAGTGTTATCGGGGAGATATTACATCAGGGATGTCACTTGATATGACATGATCAAGGAGATATCAGATATGGTGTCTCCATACCTGGATACCAAGCCACCTTATATACGTTTGTCTGAACCTGATGACTAACCCCTCTGCTACGCCGGACAGCCCAGAGCAAAGCCAAAATAAGAGTTTTTAATTTCTTCTAGTTTGACTATATCTTTAAAAACAGTCCTCTGCACTGTTACCTGTGCAGATTCAGCCTGAATGACTGGGAGACCCTCAGGTACTGGAACAACGTGATGTCCAGTTGGGTTGGAAAGCAATAGATCAGCGAGAGGCCAAATGGAAAACACAAAAAGCAAAAAGAGAATATTGTGTACTTAGTCTTTAAGTCATAGGCTGAGTGTTAGCATAGGATTAATCATTAGGGAATATTTCCTAAGGGGTTGTCCTGCCCACCCGATTTCAAAGCATTCAGTAGCAGAAATGTAGTGGGAGATACTCTTTTACCCTTACTCTGCTCTTTGCCAGCATATGTGACTCCCATCTCTTTGCATCCTTTGAAATGTTGAAGATTCAGAGCCAAATTTTGGCCAGATTAGTTGAGAAGAAAAGGGGCAAGGCAGCAAGATCCCTCCCTCTTCACTGGATTTGCAACAAGTAGGTCGATGCTTCTATCAGGACACAGGATTTATAGGGCATGGATGAAATTGTGTTTCTGCGAAGAGCAGAATTTGATTTTCCTGCATGTAGTCTGCAAACGCACTGCGTTTCTGCTGCTGCCAAGGGCTGGTTATTTCTAACACAGACTGAAGGACCCAGTGTGTAAGCTGGCCCACTGGTATTGTTGCCTTGAGCCCTCATTTGTTTAGGCCAAGGTAAATTCTCGCTCAGCTGGAAACTTCCCCGGCAAAGGGATGAATGCAATAGTCCTTGGGAAACGGCCCAGGGCCGAGAAGTCGTAGCAGTTCCAAGGGAAAACCAAAGCCTTTATGCCTCAGAGGCACAAACACCAATGAAATGTTTTTTGGCTCTCAGAGGAAAAAAAAGCACACAAGTGTTTTCAGCTCAGCTTTATGGGAAAACATGGCTCATGCAGCAACACTCTGCCTGTTTTCACTCCTTTCTCTTGAAAATACCTTTTCAACTCCAGGATTGTTTTCAATTAAATTTGACAGAGCAGAGATATTTCAGGAATAATTAGATTTTTATCAGTTTTGAGATGCAACAATAGATTTGAAAGAGAAAGAAACGCACTGTGCGCTTGTATTATTGCATGCGAGAGACCCTCTAGGAAAGACACTGTATAAACACCTCCAAAATACTTCAGTTAGAGCTTAGGATTTCCTACACTGAAATAAAGCAACAATCTGGTATAGATCTGCGAGAAACCAGACTACAGTAATACTAGTTCCCACAGAACGGGTGAGTCCTTATTTCAGAAAGGGTTTAGCATCTAGCAAAAAGTATAGCTCTAGAAGAAGGAAAATCTTTCCATATTTTCCTTGACTCAACTGGAAGTAGAAGGCTGACGGTGTCTTTCAGATTCAGACCCTATACTATTTTTTTTTCTTAATATTTATTCTTTTTCCCTTTCCAAAGTAAGAAAAAACAGGGGCACTGGTGCTCATGGGACCCTTACACTGAGTCAGGTATAGCCTCACCAGTGAAGAATCAGCTACTGGCCTCCTGAAAACACCCTTTGGTGCTCTGACTCCTACTTAAATAAGTTTTCCTGGACTGGATGACTTCAGGATTTGCTTCCCCTCTGAAAAGTAGGTGGGACTGTGGGGGAGGCCCTTAGAAGGAAAATATCGACTGGCATCCAAGTGGTGCAGATCTCAGCAGGGTTTTGCATTTTAAGGCTAGAGGTCTTAATGCGTTTCCTTCAGCGGCAGAGTGAGGTGATTAAAAAGCACCCTTTGGTGCTTGTAATCATTTGTGGGGTCGGTAGATGGCTTTCGCTACGGCAGAAGGTGGAACAGGATTATACTGAAAGCTGAGGCAATCTGTTTCCTTTCTCCTAGAAGAAAAAAAGCCAGGAGAAATAGCTTAGAAGTAGATTAAAAGAAGAAGCTAGCCCTAGGAGAAGAGTCTAGGGAGAAAGGATAAAGGAACGAGTCCTGTGGGAATGAGATGGTCTGTTGTTCCCGCTGGCTTTGCTGGTCCTTCCCATTGCTTCCAGCTTGTTTTAGGATTGTTGTTTATTCTTTTAAAAATTCAGACAGGAGGGGAGAGCTGAGGGCCAGCTGCCTTGCAGAGCCTCCCTGGGGAAGGGCAGGGCGGGCAGTGCAAATTTGGATCAGAAATAGCTCTGGAAGGGAGGTGTGAATGGAAGCGGGGGTAAAGCCTAACTGCAAACTGAAGGAGATGGTCTGGACAAGAACCAGCCCCAGTACCAAGCCAAATGGGATGCTGCCGGGGCAGCGATGCTTTAGCTGGAAGCCTTCTTTGAGGCTCATGAAGGATTCCTGGGACTCAAGAGCTCTAGTTTTGTTTAGAAATTGGTCATCCCCCAAACACCAAAAATAACCCTGGCCTGACTTAGCCAGCAGCCCGTGTTGCAACTATACCAGACTCTGTACGAGTCAGGAAGAAAACTGTAGGAGAGGACGGGAAAGGATGGCACTGTGTGGGCTGCCGCAGGGTGAGGTGAAGACAGCACAGTCTGCTACCACCTCCTGAGGTAGCATCGTTCTCCGACTCTCATTTAAATAAGTTCTTCTGGACGAGCTCAGGATTCACTTCCCTGCTGAAAAGTAGGTGGGACTGTGGGGGAGGCACTTAGAAGAGAAGCACTGACTGGCATCCAGGCGGCACAGGTCTCAGCGGGGTTTTGCATGTTAAGGCTAGAGGTCTTAACGCGTTTCCTTCAGCGGAAGAGCGACGTGCCTAGAAGAGAAGCACTGACTGGCATCCAGGCGGCACAGGTCTCAGCGGGGTTTTGCATGTTAAGGCTAGAGGTCTTAACGCGTTTCCTTCAGCCGAAGAGCGAGGTGACTAGGTGCAACGCAGGTTTGCTCTTACCTTGATGGGAGTGGCGACTTCTGGGCTGGCTACCACTAAAGGAGAGATTAACAGCATGCCTGAGAACTCACTGGGTCTCTCACTAGCTGTCAGAATGGAGATGGCTCCCCCCTGCAATGCAAAATAACAGCCCACAGCTTAATACATGTGTCGACATCTCGTTTGTATAGTAATCCTGTTACTGGAAGGGTTTTAGTCCAAACAAGCAAATTATTTCTGCCCCAGTGAGAGGGCAGTGTGGTCAGCGGGGAAGGCTGGAGGAGCAGGGGCACTGGAAGTGTCTGGTTTTTGTGGGGGAGCAGAGACCTGGTTTCTGCTCTCATGCTGTAAACCCTCAGGTCACACTGAACTCAACTCCGTGCAATGTCCCTCAGCTCCCTAGGGTGCCTTGCGTCCTCCTCAGTTAAACAGAATAAGAAGAAAATGTCTGAAGTGGTAGTTCAGGTGGGACTTGAAAAATAAGTAGAGGCCCTATCAGTGTGACAGACTGGTGCTGCATCGGGAAGATGCCGTGAAGCCAGGCTCGCTCCATGCTTGTGGCACTGGTAACCTGGGCAACGCGATGCTGCCATCCGGCATGCAAAAATCCTCCCTAATTACTGGAAGTTAAATATTCTCCTCTTCAGTGTCCCCAGCCCCTCCAGCCCCACAGTGCTGTGCCCAGGGCCCGACAGCGAACACCCAGCCCACGGTTTAGGGCTGAACGCCAGCCCTCCTGCATGAGGACAGCGGTGGATGGCGTGAGGGGTGGGGGACAGAAGGGACCTGGCTGCCTTGCTCGGGAAAGTTTGCAGAGGATTAGTTGCCAAGGGAAATATTTGGTGAACTTCCACACTGCCGGAGAACCAGGGGCTTGTTAAATGGAGCAGCAGCGAGAAGCATCTCAAAGACCTCACTGGGAAATTAGCTCCTTGTTACAGTGGCTTTGGAGCGCAGCGAGCACTTCAGAGCATGCCGTGCCTTCTTATGCAAGGACACTTGTTTATCTGAGCATGGCCTGAATCCCAAAGTACTTATTCATTTTCATCTCCTCTGGGAAGGCAGGGAGAGCAGATCAATGACATCAGTGGGAATATTCCTAGCTTGAATAAAGGGATTTGGCCCATGCTGTCAGAATCAGACTTCAGATCTGTTCACCAAATCAGTGCCTTTGTTTTTGAAGCCCTAATCCCTGGTACATTTTCTTGTTAGGTTGTTTAACAGAATGAGGCTACAGGGTATTTTCGTGCTTCATCCCCTAGCCGCTCGCAAAGCTTTGGAGGGCTTAACCTCCTGGTTACTGGTTAAAATGAAAGGGGAAGCCCAGTGCTGCAGGGAGGTGGTGGGACTTATCAGGTACTCGGTGTGAATGAACGGTCCTATTAAAAAACAGGCCCGCTGTTGCAAATGGCACTAATCAGGGCCATGATCCAGGTGGAAAAGTTAAGGACTGACTATACTCAAGACAGATCTCCGCGGGTAAGGCACGCTGGGAACTCAGTCAGTGAATGAAGTGGAAGGGAAGGTTGCTTGTAGTTTTGTTTCTCCTGCTGTGGGCTGAGTAACTTCCCGCCATCCACAAGAGCACCGCCGTGCTGTGGCATGTGTCCTGGGTGCTGCCGGGAGAGGTAGGGGCTGGTGCTTACCATGGAGTGCCCCAGAATGAGAATGGGCAGCTCGGGGTGCTCTTTCTTCATGAGATCAATGTGCTGCAAGCTGTCCCTGATGAAGACGTGGAAATCTGAGACAACCATACGATCACCCTCGCTCTGTCCATGGCCAACTGTAGGGGAAAAGGAGAGCATGTAAGTCATTTGAAGCAGTGGTTGCAATCGAGAAAGGCTTTAGCAGAAACATGCCTGTTAGACTGTTACTGTCCTAACTTAACCTTCTCCTGCAGTCATCTCTCAACAGAAAGAGTACTGCAGAAATAGAAAGCTGCAGAGAACAATTTAAAAAGTGCCATACTGTCCATGATCTGGTTAAAAAAAAGTCATATTCTCCTGTGTTTCTACTGCTCTTCAAAACTGAGAGTACTGATCTTGCAGCCTTCAACACCAGGGTGAGGAGGGCAGAAGGGCTGTCCTGCCTTGCTGTAGGGATGGGAGGTCACTGCATCCTGGGAAATCAGTTTTTGCCCCAGGGATCATAGCTGCTGGGGTCTGATGGCTGACTGTACTGAGCCAACTGCTGTGTAGAGTCTTGGCAAGAAACAGAAAAATTCCAAAGACTAGATACGGTCGCTATAAACTTAACAGGCTGCGGACACAGCCTCTTTCAGTGTCTGGGTGTGCATGAGCTTTGCGGAGTCTTGCCTTTTCTCACCGCTCCCCTGGAGCACCGGTGGGCTGGAAACCTTCCCTGCTATGAGGTGAAGCGCTCTCAGCAGAGGAGGCCAAGTGATGGTGGTGGCAAGAGCCTGCAGTGGGGAAGGAGCAAGTGGCATGGGCCTCCTAAACAAGCGTTAATGCAAACTGTACTGCACCTGGACGCTGTTAGCTCATTCTGTATCTGGGAATTATCTTGTCTGATCAACGGGAAGGGAAAGACTAAAACGGGAGATGGTGAGTTGCCATGGGAACAGCGGCATCCCTGGCAGAGGTGGAGCCAGCATCACCACAAACGCAGCCCCAGGCAATTTTGAGCTTGCAAAGGCTTGAAATTAATACCACCTTGGGGAAGCAGTTCGCATGTTTACCTGACCACCCATACATGTTATTACCTATCACAAATAGGATTCTTCCTTAAAAACAGTCTCCTTGCTTGTTTCTGTTCCAGGCAGGTTGTTAAGGAAAACTGGGAAGGGGAAAACACATCCCACCCATACAGAATAGGGTATAGAGAGTCTCAAACATCTCCCTCCTGCTGTGTGTCTCCCTAGGCCTTCTCCAGTGGGCACTTAGGCAGACTTAAAGGCACAGAGGGGCAATGCCTTGTCAAAGATGTGAAGTGCCTGGTAATTGTTTGCCTGCTGGGTGGCACCCCTCTAGTGATCAGCAAAGCAAAGCATTGCCTACCCAGCCGGAAAGGTAAAGTTAGATCTGCTGGCAATAGTCATACCAGAAGAAATCAGTATGTCTAAACTTAATTTTCTTGCAAGCCGTCCAAAAAATCACCTTCCGAATCAGGCAGAACTTCTCATAAAAAGCTGGGCTGAATATACTCTATCTAAGAAAAATTGAACCCCAAACTTGCTCTTCTTTCATCCTGCCAGGTGCTCGCCAGAGCTGGGTCTCTTGGCAGCAAACACTGCAATTGGCCACGCTGTCTGCCAGATAAACCCATAGATGTCATGCTGGTCAGTTATAAAGAACATATTACCGGTTCTGCTTTCCATGCACACGCTCCAATTCCTGCCAAAATATGATATAGCAAGCATTCTCCGTGGATCAGTGACCAGAGACAAATCGAGGAGCCAATTAAAATACAAGTTGCAATAATCTACAGAAGTGAAGCCATGTGTGTGGCTAGTGGTTCTATTAACTTCAAACTGACTTTTATTACAGATGGAAAGGGAGCTTTTCCCAACTTTTATACATGTCCTGTCCACTCACTTCGTGGACCTCAAACGAGGTCCTAATATTTAAACTTCAAATTTAGCAAGTTAATATGAGTTGAATAGTCTAGAGAGAGGAAAATTTTGTCTTAGCAGAGCTCTGCACTTCCACTTTTTTACTCTGGTGCTGCTTGCACTTGCTTCTAGGATCTCTTTCTCTACAGTGTCCGTGTAAGACAGCCGAGCAAGCAGAAACAGCAAGCCCCCATGGCCCAGGTCTGTATACCCCTGTTGTGGGGTTGTGAGGCTTTGCTCTGGTTTCGGATGAGACAGAGGCAGGTCTGGAAAGCCTCCTTGGTCCTCAGCATGGAGAAAATCCCCTGGTCCTACCACATAACAATGATACTGCTCATAACAGTCAGAGTTATGAGTGTGGAAGCCAAGAAATACCTGTGCAATAGCTGTGACAAGCATCTCATCGGACTTCTGCAAGGTTTGGGGTTTTTTATTAGTAACTTAATGAACCCACCTTTTGACCCTGCCTTTAACTACTAAACTACTGCTCCCTGCTCAGATGGCACAGAGCAATGGTTGAGGAACAGTTTGTCTGCATGTATGGTAAAGGAAGGCCATGCAAGTCTTTGCTTTGATACTATCCCTGTCCCTTGCGCAAGGTTAGCCAGCTGGCATTGCTAGGTTGTGTTCTTTTATTTTACTATTTTTCTCTCTTCCCCTCCAAGAAACTGAACTTACTCCCCCAGAGAATGAGTTTATTGCAAGTTTGACACTCCCAGTTGAGAAAGCTTCAGGGTGAGGAACTAAGACCTCTTTATTAGATGGAAGATGTGCACAACCAAACATCAATACAGTCAAGAATATTGATATGTTTTTCTCTGATCTTTTGCCTTTAGAGCTATTAAGAATGAAGGTCAAGTTCATCCTTGATGTAAAGCTATTTGCTTTGGGTTTTGCTGGGAATGAATCTGACATAGCGGTTCCACAGTGCCAGTGGCAAGACACTGGGTGCAGGAGGAGGGGAACTGCTGGTGCCTGGGAACTGGAACTAACCAGAGGCTGTCAGCAGAGACGTGTCACGAGAATCACAGCTCCACGAGTTCCTCATCACAATGCTCCCTCTGCGGCCCCTGGTTTCAATGGGGGCCCCTGGTTTCAACAGGGCAATGTGAGGTTATAACCATGAGATGCTCATCTGCAAAGAGCTGTGACTGCCAGTGCACATCCACATGACACGCTTGGTTTTCAAAACCTGTCGAATAGGTTTCGTATCTATCTGGCTTCACATCCAGCTTGCGTGGTTCACTGCTAGTATTGTGTATGTGCAGTGGCTCAGTGATTGGCCATTTTGGGCTGCGTGTACTGAGATAATTGTGGGCACCCTTTCCTAGATGCGAGCCTTTCCAAACAAGAATGCAAACCACACCTTTTCAAATTGCAAATCTAGAATTAGGAGCTCTAAGCCTCCGTTTCCAACCAAACACACCACTGCAAAATAGCATTACTTTGCTCAAACAAAGTCTGAATAAAAGCTGCAATGATCTGGCCCAATACGTAATAGCTATTAAGTTCTGCCCTCTGTATTTTCTGTATGAGCTTGCTCAGACTGCAAGTCTACCACCGTAGAGACGAGAACAGTAACTCCTGATCAGTCAATCCTGTCGGAAAGCATGACTTCAGAGCATGATTTCACCTAAGATTATAGATCCTCCAAAGCTATGCACCTCTCTGGAAGGAAGAATACTGACTGGCTGCGCAGGAAGACAAAGCTGAGGGTTCAGCGATGAAATATTTGAGGGTGTGAGGGCTCTGGGGAGTGCGTTATCATCGTGTAGGTATCACTGTGCCTGAGTAATGGAGCCTGTGGCCCTGCAAATGCATACTTCTACAAGTCCCTGCATTCCTCAAATCCCATATCCTCTTGTGCTGTGGGGCTCGCTTTTGAAAACCACTCCAAAGCAGCCAGAATCTTCAGCTGGCATTGGATCACACGCCTCAAAAAACATGACATCCTGGTCAGATTGGAGATACGCTGAAAAAAATGTAAATAAAAAGCACAGTGCAACTCGACACTCCCTTCCCTTCAGTAATGGCCAAATGGGAACTGCCTGGAGAAAGGAGCACCCCAGCTCTGGGCTCACTGGGCAGATTCATTCCAGTGGGAGCCGTGATGGGTGCTCCACCTGCTGCTCTGCCGTGCCTTGCCGGGGATGTTTGACACATGTTTGCTGGGGCTGTGGTGCCACATCATAGTTGAAGCAATCCATCCTTAAATACGCTAAATAAGACCAACAGAACATCAGACAGAGGAGAGCCTGGCAGTGCCTGCCTCCGCACACCCTAGGGTGCATTAGCACCCAGCCCTCTGAGGCACTGCGGGGATGGGTGAGCGCGGCAGCACACCTTGTCCACCCTCAGATATTTGCACAATTTTTGTTCTAAACACCAACTTTTATATAAGCTGCATATTTCTTTCTCTTTCCTGGTGCCAAACCCTCCTGACAAAGGCACATCCCGACCCTGCACGCTCAGGTGTGGACCGAATCGCTCTTCAGAGCTTCCGCAGGAACGTTTTGCTACGGAAGATGAGGTGACAGGCGAATGCAGGGTCAGATGTTGACTTCAGCTATGCTGCTGTAAATTTACCGATTTCAGTGGTGTTTCTTAAAGCTTACAGTCATGGGAGAGCAGAAATTATGGGCTATTTTGTTTTTCCAGCCTTTGCTCCCTATTTATTATGGAAAAGCCATAAAACAGAGAGAGAGGACATGAGAAATCTGCCTGGGGAGCAGTAATACTCCAGGCAGAATCTGGATCTTGACTTTTCACATATTTTGAGGTTTCCAGCTTTGGGGAAAAGGGGATGGTTTGGATCCAGTGAGGACACCATCAATACGCATCTGTGGAGTGAAATGCTCTCTCTACCCAAATGATGGTAGAAACAATCGGGAGGAATGCAGGGCTTGACTCCTGCCTCGGGATCCATCACACTGCTTGTTTGTTTTCCTTGCCAGATATGGAACTCCAAGATTTTGAAGTGGGAGAACCAAGAAGAGGGAGAATTCGGAGATGGTCAGGCACTCCAGGCTTACCACTCCCTGAGCTTAAATACATTCGGAATTGCAATGGCACTAACACAGGAGCACCAGGAGTTTTCAGAAGTAGCTAAAGGTGAGGACTGGCACCACTGCGAAGTCAATGATTCACCAGGCACAGCCGAGGAGCCGCTCCTGTACCGCAGAGTCCCACATCGAAAGGACACTTCTCAATTG